CCCCGTCCCCCCCCTTTCCTCCCGGCAGGACCCTCCCTCAAAATTGGTGGCGTCGCCAATGGATTGAGGAATTCTACCCGGTGGTCTTCCTGGGAGACCCCAACCTGGAAGCCCAGCTGGCCCAGCACGGGCTCAAGGTGAGGAGCATGGGTATTGTGGTTGGGGAGGGTGGAGCAGCCAGCTTTAGGGAGGAGGCGGGGGGAATATATGTCGGCCCTCTCTGGAGTACCGACCAAATTTAAAGCCATAAAATATTTCCAACATCAATATTTTTTTTTTTTAAAAAAAGAATTTTGCAATTGGGCAGCCCCCCACCCCAAAAAAATTACAAGCAGTCCTCAACGTAGGACGGCTGTTGAGCCCCCAATTTCCATCGCTAAGCATGGCCGTTGAGTTTCGCCCCAGTTTATGACTTTTTTGTCCCCGGTTGTTAAGCCAATTGTTGCCGTCGTTAAGTTAGTAAAACGGTCGTTCAATGAATCGGGCTTCCCCGTTGGCTTCGCTCGTCCGAAGATTCGCAAAAGGGGCTCCCGTGACCCCAGGACTGTCAAAGAAATATGAGTCAGTTGCCAAGGGTCTGAATTATGGCCAAATGTATCCATGGGGCTGCTACGACGATCCTAAGTGTGAGGGAGGGTCGTAAATTCCCTTTTTTTTTCAGTGCCGCTGTAACTTCAAACGGTCACTAAACGAATTGTTGTAAGTTGACAACTTCCTGTAGCCTCCACTGGAATCCCCTTCCATCAGAGTGTTTACAGCGTGACTACTATTGGGGAGCACAACCCCAACACACAGAACCTTTGTCTTTTTAATGGTTTATGTGCAAGACTACTATATACATACACACACGTGTTAGGCAAATACCAGGCAAGCAATCGATCTTCAACTCTACATGGAGAACTACAATGGAGATAGAACAGGAGGAGAGAGAGAGAGAGAGAGAAGGACGTCCTCACATGGCCTCCTTTATATAGACAGCTTCTTAAAGCGGCAGTACCCTGCTGACTCACCCTCTTGGCTTACAGCCTTACAGCAGCCAGTCAGCTATTAAATCTTCATTACCTTCACACCCTCCCCTTCTCTTGCTGACCCCAAAAATTCCTGAGGGGAGTTGGGTGGGTGGGAGCCTGTCCTACTGAAGTTTTTCCCGACCCCCTTTCCAGGACAAGTCCCCCATGAAGCGCCCGCCGGATGCCCTCCTGCCCAGCCTGCTGCAGCGAGTTCGGGTCCACCTCCGCCCATTCACCGGTCCAGCCATCATCTGGTCCTTCTACCTGACGGCAGCGGCCGTGGGCATCCTGCGAGGACTGGGGGCCCGACTGCCGGCCGGAGGGCTGCCTCCCGGAGGCAAGCAGAAGGCGAGTCGGCTGGGCGACGCGGTGGCCGATCCCGGTGGCGGCGGAGACCAGTTAGGCGGAGAGAAGAACGGGCAGCTGCGGAGGAAGGAGGAGAAGGCCCGGCCGGCCGGAGAGGCCCCCTCCAATGGGCTGCGGCATACGAAGAAGAAGAAATAAGTTGGGGGGGCGCGGCTCCAGGAGACACCCCCCCCCTTCAAAAAAAAAAAAAATCACCCCGGCCTCTGCGAGATGCCAAAATGGGATGTGAGCTGGGTGGGAAGAAACTTCGCCACCCTCTCGGACTTTGGTCGCCTTCCTTCCTCCCGTCACACCCTCACACGCGCACGCACGCACGCCAACTGTGGGGTGGAAGCCCCTTTGAACACACACACACACACACACACCCCGCGAAGGTCCTCCCTGTCACATTGAGGGAGGGGCGAGGCTGCAGATGAGGCTGTTTGGGCTGAGACCCCTGGCCCGCTCACCCTTCTGCATCTCTTGAATCCGCGGCCCCCTCCTCGCTCTTCGACGGCACGGGGGGGGGGGGGTGGCGCCCTCTGGTCAGCTGGGAGCAGCCTGGGTCAGTTGCCGGGGGTCTCCCGTGTTTGGGGACCAGTGGGGGGGGGCTATCCTGATGGCTGGGGAGCTGCCTTTTGGCCTTTGGGGGTCCCCCGGGCACTCCTTCCGGGTGTGGTTGGATGATTGGCAAGGGGGGTGGGGGAAGGAGGGTTGGATCTTGGCAGCCCCCTCCCATTACTCCCCTTTCTCTTCCCTTCCTCCCTCCCTTCCCTCCTCTCTATTTTCCTTCTTTCTTTCCTTCCTTTTTCCTCCCTCCCTTCTTTCCCCTTCCTCCCTTGCTTTCCCTCCTTTCCTCCTCCTTTCTTCCTTCCCCCACCCCTCCCTTCTTCCCTCCCTCCCTTCTTTCCCTTTTCCTTCCTCGCTTCTCTTCCCTTCTTCTCTCCTTTCCTCCTATCTTCCTTTTTTTCTCCCATCCTTTCCCCACCCTTCCTTTCCCTTTCCTTTTCCCTTCCCTTTGCTTCTTT